TTTTTTTTTGAGGTTAGATTGCAATATTTCGAACTTGACCATCTTAACTTTTTTGTAGAAAATTTCATAACGAAGCGATTGCTATTTTTTTATTCTCTGTACGATGCAAGGCACCCGAGATATATGAAAAAAACCACAGGAGGCCAACGAATTTGTTAATAAATGTTAATAACTAATTACGCGGCAATCCAATACCCTTAAAACTTCACAGTACTTCAATCCACATTGCTTTTGACCCATTCCATGAAAAAAACTGGGCAAACAGAACAGTTCCCATTTTTTTTTTAATGACAATACATCTGATTTTGGTCATGCCGATATGTTATCTCGTCTGATCAACAACTATCACAAACCAGAAGAGGATTTTGTCATCGCTTCAGTCACAATGGAGGAAGATATATCAACATTTTTACAGGATTCATTACAATTCATTCCTTTAACTTTTGATAAAATAAAAGCAGCTACAGAACAAAATGCAATTTTGCAACAGGTTATCGCTTACACAATCTCAAATTGGCCGACATCTATGGTACCTCATTCAGACCTCAAGCCCTTTTTCAATCGCAAAGAAGCTCTTTCAGTAGTTCAAAATTGTCTACTATTCAAGGAACGGCTCGTAATTCTGACTCAACATCGAGGATCTATTCTTAGAAAATTACATAAAGGCCATCCAGGAATTCAACATATAAAGGCCATCGCACGTTCTTATGTATATTGGCCAGGAATTGACAACGAAATTGAGCAGTTCGTCAAGGCTTGTCACAATTGCGCTTTAGCCGCAAAATTTCCAATCAAGGTTCCACTTGCAAGTTGGCATACACCTACACAAATCCATGGCAACGTCTCCACGCAGACTATGCTGGACCCATCAATGGGGAATATTATCTAATCGTTGTCGACGCTTTTTCAAAATGGCCAGAAATTTATCCAACCAAAACTATATCAGCTCAACGTACTGTTGAAATCATGGAGGATATTTTCGCTCGTTTTGGTATACCGGAAACTCTGATTACTGATAATGGAACTCAATTTATTTCCAAAAAATTCCAATCATTTTGCCTATCGTACGGTATACAGCATCTACGTACACCGCCTTTTCATCCCAGTTCAAATGGCCAAGCTGAAAGATTCGTGGATACCTTCAAGAGGGGACTCCAAAAACTTACCGGTGGGGAGAACATCCGCAATCATTTACCTATATTTCTCAAACAGTACAGATCTACTCCTAACGTAAACGTTCCAAATAAGGTCTCTCCTGCCGAGGCACTGATAGGTAGACCTATGCGCACAGTTCTGGATTTACTTAAACCATCCATCCGTCAACAGCCGCAGAAGGACGACATTAAACTACGTCAAGAACAACAATTCAATCGCAAGCACGGAGTAAAATCTAAAGCTTTTGAAGTAGATTCAGAGGTTTGCGTCAAGATCTATAACATTAACAAATGGAAATGGATCCCAGGAAAAATAGTAGAACACATCGGACAAGTTTTATATAACGTTCCGACAAGACAGCGTTTAGTCATGGCTCACGCAAATCAATTGAGACCCCGTTTCTCTGTTGAAACTAAAGAATCTCCACAGGATATTCAGTTACCATTAGACATCTTATTGGGGACTTTCGATCTTCAAGGAGAGGAGCAAACAAATACAGAGATGGCAGCTTTACAGTCTCAATCCTCAACTCCGGACATCTCCGACGTTAACAGTCCTACAATTAGCCAAAAGTCTATTTCAGATTCCCAATCACAGCCACTCAGACGCTCAGCTTGTAAGAGATATTCTCCAAAGCGATACGAGGACGTAGGATGTTTTATAAGAAAAAGAAGGGGAGGTGTTGCCGAGAGAAAATAGCAGAGTGCAGCTAGATGGCAGTTACATAGGCAGCACTCAGAGAGCAGTAGAGCAGGACACACATCGCAGCCAGTCTTACATTATAAAATTCAGTATTCCGTTGTACAGAATAAATTATCACTCTTATTGATAAGCACCGCGTTATTCATTGTACCAGTAACACAAGAACATAATAGTATCATTTGTATAAAAGATTTGATATCAATAGTCGACGCCAAGTTATTCTACCTTATTACTTACTTAATTTTGATGACATTTATCATTTGTATACAAGATTTGATATCAACAGTCGGCGCCAAGTTAAATTCTACCAAATTAAAAAGTAAAACACAAGTGGTATCTTTAATCTTTAAGAAGCCATAGACCCGTATTCATAGTCGTGATTCAACCTAAGAATCCGATTTGAGCTAGATTCAAGTCAATCTTT